TAAACCCTTACGATGTAACTACAGCCCAGCCCATGCAGCAGTATATTAATGACTAACCTCGTATTGTGGATGGATTATCTCAGTTGTTCTCCTGACTGAAGTTTGGTCTGTTTGCAGCATCCTGCCATGTGATTGCATTTGTCCCTAACCATCGGGAATCCTTACGTTAATTTTTATCGAGTGAAAAAAAAAAAAAAGCGTATGTGGCCGAGCTGTACATTTTAATTTTTCAGAAATCCCTCAGTCAGAACATGGTATAATTATTTAATCTTAAATATTTTTCAGAGACTTCCTGTGTACCACTAGAGGGAGCCTGCAGGTTGAGAATGACTGTTTTAGGATAATAAATAATGAACTTTACGTAGAGATAATTACATTTTATATCATTTATGTAGCATGTATATTATGGATCCAGATGAGCTTTTTTATTCTAATATTAAAAATGGATAGTATGTAGAATGTACATACACAGTGAGAAAGTATTTAAAATAAATACCTTACTCTCATGTGAATTTGTGCATGCAAATGCTCACCTGTAACCTTTGAGTAGCCGGAGATGTTTGGGGTTTATCCCCAATGCCCTCACCATCTTAAGGAGACGAATCCCGCGATGAGACACACCCAACACCTGGGCATCCCCACTGTCTGGCTGCGTACAAACAGGAGATGCTTGCAAATAAATCTCTGTAAGAAGTGTAAATAGATTCTACTGTATTGCACTTTAAACTACACAGCTCATGACTTTAGTGCCTCAATCAAGACCCAATATCTCAATCATACCCCTGAACATACTGTATATGTTATTATAATAGAAACATCAAAATGGGCAGAAACAATCCAGAGTAATGTTGAATCTGAATTCATCAATCTTATTTTTCATATGGTGCAATCTTCCAGCTGATACCATGGAGATACTCAACCAATCAGAGTAATATTACCTCATGGTGAACCCTGCATACTCTACACACATTTTTCCCCATCCAATCTGTTAGGTTGAAATTGTTAAATGTTGTCATTGTGTTACTTAAATTTGTAAATCTTAGTTCAATTACTATGGGTGTTTGTGTAAACTGTGTCACAGAATAAAAGGCTGCAGGGGAAGCTCTTTCTTCAAAGTGGTCTGAGACCAAGGGCAGAAGGGCTGCTCTGAGATCCTTCCCGTGCTAGCGTGTGAAAAGCCGGTTAAAGCTGTTCGTCTTGCTTCTTTGCTTCGTTTATAGGAATAAGTCTCTAAACCAGCGGGGCCTGTGGAAGCGCACACCCAACACAATCCCATCCATGTGTTCATGCATACAGATGCCAGTAACGTTGTGGTTGCAGTACTTCAGGATCTACTAAATACTAAGGAAGGGGCGCAAAAATAAACTGTTTGAAGAGGGAGATCGTTTCAAATATAATGTGTCAAAACAACAACCAATATCACCAAACAGACAACTTTTCTGTGCAGTTTGACACATAATCTGTCTGTGCTGCATCCGTTTGAATCATATCTATCAGACTCCAATTTGTTCATGTAACAGGGAAGTCCTCTTCACACATAAATGTTAATTATGGAAATCCACGGGTTTAGTGCTAGGACTAATTACGTTTTTAATGTAGCTAATTAGATGGAGTATAATTGGAAGACACAGCATAAGTTTTCATTGCTTTGCAGAGGATACCCAGCTTTATCTATCCATGAAGCCAGATAACACACACCAAAGTAGTTAAACTGCAGGAATTTCTTGAACACATGGACCTGGATGACCTTAAATTTCTGGCTAGTTAGATGCCCTATTAATATGATCAATGAGGCTGACGGCTAGAATAAGATCTTATCTTAATCACATACAAAACTGTGTGTGATTGACAAAGGCTGTGTGGGAAAATCCTGGTAGATTTGCAGCTACTGAAATATAAAAACATATATAAATATATGTTGAAATATCTGCAGGACCTCTTGGACCTCTACATGCCTGAATGCATTGAGTTGCTGCTATTTGATTGGTTGCTT